AATATGTGAAGGTATTTAAGTCTACTACTGAAAGAAACACATATTCAAACACCCAGTGGAAACCTAAAAACAAAAACAAAACAAAAACACTGAACAAATGGTGCAAAGGTTAAGACGAGGTCACATGAAACAAATGTGAACATCTGGTAGTTATACAGTTTGGAACAAATCATTACAAGTGGTAGTCCACACAGTGAACACAACTGCGTACGACATCAAAAAGTATCTTAAAACAACATAAACTGTGACTAGAAAGCTCAGTGTAGGCAAAGAAAACAGTATGCACAAACATTACAAAATGTTTCAACCAGTCTTTATCAAAAGACTAAATCCTTAAGTTATAAATAATGGACAAGGCCAATATGGAACCAAAAACAAGAAATAGGAGAAAATACGGACATGAAGAGCTAGCCTGAAAAAAAATATTTAAGAGTGAATTTAAAAAATAAAATTTTTGCAGGACTGCGAATACACAAACAATAAATGATTTTTCAAGGAGAGACAGCTGATCTGATTCCATGAGCCAGAATGTATGGCTGTAACAATTTCAAATTTTCTCCAGGGATTAAATTACAAGAGCTAAGGCCAAATGCTTACTACATTTGCATAACTGTGCCCTAGTCTTCAATATGCACAATTGACCTTTTATTAACATTCTGTTTAGTGAAATACTTTAGGGGTTGAAATTGACAAAACAGGCAAGAGAGACCACAGTTACTAAGTAAAGCAGAGGAGTTTTATTTCTTGCTCGTTAAGATGCCAAAAAGAAAAGACAGACATCCACATGTAGCTCCAAGAATACTAGAAATACAGAGAAAGACCTAACTAATGCATGTAAAGTATATCTTCTTTTTCTTCTATGTTCACCGGCTGTAATCTCCGGCAGAAAGACCTGGTTGTTTGTCCATCTAGACTTTGGCTTTGTGCCAGGGGCTGAGTTTTGCATTAACATCCGTTTTACTGGTTTATTTGTGTGTAGTTGGTTGTTCCTTGCCATTCGGGTAGATGCACTCTGACTTCAATGGAAGTCCCCTATTAGTCTACTCTTACGACATGCTTGTTGGGGAGGCAGTGGATCTTTCTTATTTTCCCCACAATGGAGCCCAGGAACCCACACGGGAAGTAAATTAGACAAGATCACCCTGCTAAATGAGAGCATGTGGTGGGTTGAGCTTGAGAGCATCCGACATCAGCTGCTAGATAAGAGTCTCAAGTTCCTTGACGGTGGATGAGATCACAATTTTCTGACAATAGCTGCTACCGACGCCCAAGCAGTATTATCACTGCTAAGACGGAAAGCAATGACTATCTTATTCAAGATGCCAAGAAAAGCCATGATTTCACAAACTAGACATTTGACAGTCTGTTTTATGGACATGTTATGAGAAGAATGGACTTCAAAACTTGGCGCAGACGGGCTAAACTGAGGTGTAAAAAATAGCAAGGAAAAGGCAATGTGAAAAAATGCCTGGATGGCTTGGCTAGACAAGTGCAGTGAGACAAGAGCCCTGATCTGTGATTCTGGTGACTTTGTGAGATGATCAGGCATGCCCATCTACCCTTATCAGTAGGGTGTGTGATGATAATAAATGCATAACAAGGGCTCAAAACAAAAATTAATATTGCACAAATACTACTTTTTCATGTTCACCAACTGTAAACTTTGACAGAAAGTTCTGCCTGTTTGTCCACTTCTGGACTTTGGTCTTGTTCCAGAAAATGAGTTTAGCAAGTACATCCATTTTACAGATCTGGCTTATTTGGGACATCATCAAGAGAGCTGTTCCAGACAACCAGGAATTCTGATCTGTGGAGATGCATGAGCGCCTAAGCCAGATGGCAGGGCACACGCAAATGATAAGTGTTAACGGGGCAGTGGGTCTATTCTTTTTATTTCCTTCCTACAATGGGGTCTCCAGTTCCCACACAGAGAAAAATTCTAACAGTACGCAGAAAAATAATCACAAATAAAACAACATACAAGTGAATAAATGTGTCATTTAATTTTTGTGCCACAGATAAACTGTCTAAAGCAGTGGCTCTCAACCTTCCTAATCCCACGACCCTTTAATACATTCCTCATGTTGTGGTGACCCCCCCCCCCCCCCCCCCCCACCTCAACCATAAAATTATTTTAGCTGCTGCTTCATAACTTTAGTTAATATGTTATTTTTAATGGTCTAAGGCAACCCCTGGGAAAGGGTCCTTCGATCCCCAAAGGAATAGCGACCCACAGGTTGAGAACCACTGGTCTAAAGCAAAGCAAAATATACACTCTATAGGTAATACAGATTCAAATGCTTTAAAACAATCACTGCTTAACCTTCCAAGCAAATTCATTTCTATAAACTACATCAACAAATCTGGACTACAATGATTTCCTGTATCATTTGCTCCATGACCAAATGTTCATGAAGCACATTTAAGTTTGTAGCTTTTGTTCTACTCCATTCATATGTGTATATACTTTACATGTGTTCCGCAAATATAGCAGACGCAAAAGATTTACAACAACAAAATTGGTGAGAAACATTACCATAAGGGGAATCAGAGCACAACTCTAAATGAGGAAAAACAGGCCATAAAATCAGGGGAAATAATAAAACTAGTTCATGTTTTCACACAAACTGTAAATTATAGGAAAAAACATGAAACTGTGTTACAGAGAATAAGAGTTACATCATAAATAAGGAATAATTCAATTAAAATAATTAAACAGAAATGTTACTTAGTCAAATCTGTTAATTACATGCAAAACAATAAAAATTTGGAAGAAAAAAGTAATAAAAATGTAAACACCAAACAAAAGTCTGTGTCGTTAGTAAAAGTACCAAGAAAAGAAAGACACCATTTTTCTAGGGGGCTGCGTGGTCTCTAGCCATGGTGTCCGTCTTGAGTGCCAGAGGTTCCAGGTTCAATCCCCGGTAATGGCTGGGATTTATTAATGTAGTTATTCCCCCTGGTCTCGAGTAGTAAGATCGGATGCCCGTGTGCATTGTTGATCATGTAACAAATCCCTTGGCAGGTGGAAATTGAAAAGAGTAGCCTAACAGCGCTGCCTGGGCAAAATTTGGAGTTAAAAATCTACCCAAAGTATTTTCAGGATCCTCGCTGGTGCTACAGAGCCTGAGCACTTATAGGTTACTACCCGTGTGCCATGATGTTGTTCCGTTGTTCAAACCACAAACATCAGACACTATTTTTCTAAAGAACTGTACATGCATCAGTAACGAAGAAAAGTATTCAGAATCATAACAAAAGAAAGTATGTATTTAATATTAATGGATAGAAAATTTAATATACATAGCTAATGTTTGTAGCAGGTGAAAAGAGATAGCCATGCATATTACAAAGATAATAAAATGACCAAAAAAACATCCCTTACATAAGATAATGAAAGGTTTTTAATTAATGCTATAAATATGAACGACCCTTTTTTTTATGCCTTTAGGCTTACTGGGTATATAGGGTTAGACCTATATTTGACAGGCCAATCAGCATTAGGTAGGTGATGTGGTCAACATCTGGCCGGCCGGCCGGCTTTACTTCCCATGACTCTACCTAGTAACCATTTAAGGCTGAGTTGACCTGGGAGTCTAAATCATTTTTGAAAAAAAAAGTCCAGCTCCATTAGGACCTGAACCTACCACTTTCGGATCTATAGGTGAATGTCTGGCCGCTACATCAAGGCAGCTACTGCTAAAAATATGATATTTTTATTTAATGGCCACAGCTCTCTATATATGTGTTCATGCATCAGCAAACAAGGAAATGTTAGTATTACAAACCAACAGAACAAATATAAAATATATATATCACTGATGAGGGCAGGCCAGGAAACAGATGTAACCTTGTAGGATAAAAATATCATGAAATGATGCACATGCTAAACAGCAGTTAATGAAATGTTTTCAATGAATGCTAGAAATATGTTTGTACAATCTTCTTCTTCTTCTCAGAGTTCACCGGCTGTAAACTCTGGCAGCAAGTTTCTCTTTGTTCATCCTCTACTGGACTTTGGTCTTGTTTCAGAACTCGAGTTTTGCAAGCACATCCATTTTACAGACCTGGCTTATGTGTATGCAGACTGACAGTTTCTCACCTCTCATGCAGAAACTTCAAAGGAAAACCTCAAAGTAAGTCACTTCTTAGAACATTTCTGGTTAGGAAGTGGGAGCTGTATTGGCTCTATCCCCCCTCCCTCCCCCACTATGGGGCACCTGAGCCCACACAGGCAGTAGTGTTCAAAGACTAAGTTTTCTACATCTGTTCATGTGCCTGTTACACAGAAAAGTTATTTAACAAACAAACAAACAAACAAATAAAAGTAAAAGACCCTTTTCCATGCCTTCAAGTGTACTGGCCACACAGGACTAGAAAAATACTTTATAAACCAATCGGCTTCTGGTGAATGATGTGGTCAACATCCCGCCAGCCATCTTTACTTCCCAGGACTACACCTGGTACCCATTCAAGGCTGGGTCGACCTGGGAGCCAAGGTCAATTCAGAAAAAAAGTCCGGCTCCGTCAGGACCCGAACCCATGACCTTCTGATCCACAGATTGAACACAGATAAGAAAGTTTAAAAAATGAACAGACAGAATACACCCCTGATCAGAATACCAAGGGAAACAGGGCTAACTATGAAGGATCTGAAACATGCCAAACAACAGATAATTAACTGTCTCAAACAAATGCTAACAATATTATCACACTGTCATCAAACAATGACATTTTTTCTACAGATCTATTCCTGTGCCAGTAATAATGAAAAGTAAGCATTCAAAATGAAAATATTACAGAATATAAATATCTGATAAGAATAAGAAAGGGAACAGAGGTTACCATGCAGGATACAATGATCATAAAATCACGTACATGCTAAATACATTGGAGGTATTACAAGGTTTTATCACAAATGCTAAAGATATGTTCCAGATGCATTTTAAAAACTGAGTGGCTAACATCTGATCAATTCCCAACATGCAGAGAATATTTACCTTGAGAAAAGGGACGAGATACGGCTGCGGTGATGACTGAAGCTCGTGCTGCAGTCGTTCTGTGAAGACCTCTGGTTCAACTTTGCCATCCTGTCCAGATAAAAATAAGCATCAGTTTTGCAATTAATCTGCTATCAACTTCATTAACAGAGTCCCCCCGTGTGGGTTCCGGGGCCCTATTGTGGGGAAAACAAGAATAGACCCATTGCCTCCCCAAAAGCATGTCGTAAGAGTCGACTAACTGGGGAGCTTCCTTTGAAGTCGGAGTGCATCTGCCTGAGAGGCAAGGAACCAGCAGTCTGCATTCAATTGAATCAGATCTGTAAAACTGATGCACATGCAACACTCAGGTTCTGGAGCATGACTGCAGTCCAGAAGTGGACGAACAGCCAGAACTTTACGCCAGAGTGTACAGCTGGTGAACACAAAGAAGAAGAAGATTAACAGAGTCTTAGAAACTTAAATTTGGTAAAAACTGGTAGGCATTAGTTTTTTTTTTAAAAAGAAAGACCAAAATGGTTTGGCCACCCGGTGAGAATAAATCCAGCATCACCAGGTGCAAGAGCATACAAGATTAGAATGGAAACATCAGCAGATGAAGACCAAGAATAAATGGATAGATAGAGTTAACAACAATATCACTCATATCGATATGCATCATTAGACAGACAGAATATTAGAGAGATGAAATGTGCAAGGTATTATGATGTTTAGCTCACTCAAATTGATATGAATCCTTAGAAAGACAGAATATTAAAGAGATGAAACGTGTAAGGTATTATGCTGTTTAGCTCACTCAAATGCATATGCTTCATTAGACAGACAGAATATTAAAGAGATGAAATGTGCAAGGTATTGTGCTGTTTACCTCACACAAACTGATATGCATCATTAGACAGACAGAATATCAAAGAGATGAAATGTGCAAGCTATTATTCTGTTTACCTCCCTCAAACTGATACGCATCATCATCGTTGTTCTGGTGTGTCATTATGTGTCACAGAGTGCTCAAAGTCTATCCCCCCATTCTATCCTGTGCATTCCCCCCTGAACATCATGGATGGGATCCAGTCCAGCAACTCTGACCTTTCACATCAACATTCACTAGGAGTTTGTGTGTGTGGATGGCCTCGCTTATTCAATCCTTTTTGTTTCCCATTTTAGTGCCTGTTTGGTGATTCTCTGCTTGCTTCATTATGCACCTAATGTAATTCCATCCTCTTTGTCTTATAACTGTTGTTACCAGTAGCTGTCCAGATATTTCTCTTATTTCTTCCCCGCTTTTGAATTCATCCCAATTTATGTTATACACTTTCCTGAGGCATTTGTTTTCAGATTATTTAACTTTCGCTCCATGTCTTTAGTGATTCTCCAACATTCACTGGCATAGGTTAAAACTGAAATAACATTAGAAATGAAAACACATAACTTGGTTTTAAAACAACAATGCAGAGTTCCATATATTTTGTTCAGGTTTTTTTTGTGGATCTCCTTCACTATATCACCTAGATTCCCTGTGTGGGGAGCCCTATTATAGGGAAAATAAGAACAGACCCACTGCCTACCCAAAAGCATGTCGCAAGAGTTGTCTAATTGGGAGCTTCCTTTGAAGTCGGAGTGCATCTGCCTGAAACAAAAGGAACCAACAGTCTGCATACAAATTAGTCAGATCTGTCAAACGGATGCACATGCAACTTTCAAGTTCTGGAAGAGGACTGCAGTCCAGAAGCGAACGAACAACCAGAACTTTCTGCTGGAGTTTACAGCCAGTGAACGCGAAGAAAAAGAAGAAGAAGACTACCTAGATACGTAAACTTATCTGTTGCTATAATTCTTTTTGTCTCTTGTCTTACATCTGCTTGATCTGTTGTTGGTGTATTCAATATATTTGTCTTTTAATAACTTATTTCACATTCCATACTTTAGTGCCTATGTGATGTGTAAATGGCACAGCAGGATGATGATGAAGAACTAGCCTACTTATGAGGGGGAAAAAACAATTCAAGCCATATTTTACAATTCTTTGTTTCAGTCCATTTTAAAGATGTCATCAAAACATCCGGTTGTATCTGTGTGCCATCCTTGTCGAGCTCCATAGTTGCAGCTTGTGTTTAGGCAATTATTGTCACAATTTATATATGTGACTGTGACTTAGAGGTTGGTGAATTCATTTACTTACTTACTTAGTCGCTCCACTTCTACATTAGGGTGTAGAGGTCTACAAGAGAGATCATAGACGTCTCTATCAGCAGTTTTATTTCTGGCTATGTTCTATTCCAGTCCTCTGTCAGTTAGGGACGGTCGGATGTTGTCTTCCCAGCAGACCCTAGGAGGTCTGGTTCCCTGGTTCCTAGCCTCCTATGCCTGCCATGGTTGCAGACTTTCTCCCATTCTGCATACATGTCCAAATCATCGTAACTGTGACTGATCCACTTGAGTTTGTCAGGCCTGGGTTTCAAGATCTTGACATACTGTCTCACTGCGAACTTATCTCCGAGTAAATGCACAAAATGAAGATATTCCCCAAAAAGGCAGGAACTTTCACAGTGGAGACAATAAAGAGTATTTTTCCCCACAACTTATAAAGAATAAACACTCTCACTTACTATTAGACCCTGAATAAGAGCCTTGACATTTTTCACAGTTTCTGTTGGTTGACTGTATGCCAATTTGATTAATGTCGACAGGAAATTCTTGCACTTTTTTACATTTTCAATCATTGCTTTATCTGCATTAAAAGAACAGAAACAATTCAACTAGTAATGCTGTCAAAATTAATGTTTTTTATTTTTTTTTATTTTTTCAATTTAAAAAAAAAAAAAAACAGCAATGTAGCAAAGGGAGTTGCCGTGGCCGAGCGGCTAGACGCTAGATCGGAAGGTCATGGGTTTGCTCCCTGGCGGAGCCGGACTTTAAAAAAAAATGTTCTTGGCTCCCAGGTCGACCCAGCCTTGAGTGGGTACCGGCTGCAGTCTCAGGAAAGTAAAGGCGGCCGGCGTGATGCTGACCACATCACCCATCTTGTGCCGACTGGTCTATAAAAATATAGGTCTAACCCTATATGCCTAAAGGTGTGGAAAAGGGTCCTTTACTTACTTACTTTACTTAAAGTAGCAAAGAACTCTGGCAGCATGGTGGTAGATGTCCACCTGTCAGCCCAAAGGTCTCTGGTTCGAATCTGCACTGAGTCAGATTTTCTCTCACAAATGGCCTTGGCTCCTAGGTCGACCCAGCCTATAATAGTTACCAGGTAATATCCTTGGAAGTAAAGGCAGCTGATGTGATGTTGACCACATCACCCACTGAGCACTGATCAGCCATCAAGGAAAATAAAAAGCGGAAAGGGGGGGATAATCAATAAAAAATAGAGGTGGATAATTAAATCAATGTGGGAATAATTAAGGAATTGAGGAATATAATAACAAAAAAAAAAAAAACTAATCAATGGGGTAATAAACTATTCAACGAGGGAAAAAAGTAAAGTAAAGGATCTTTTTCCACACCTCCAGACATATTGGGCGTATAGGGCTAGACCAATATTTTATAGACCAGTCAGCACTCAATTTAATTCACAGGGCTGCATCTGGTACCCATTTAAGACTGTGTGAACTTGCTAGCCAAGGTTATTTTTTTTTTAAAGTCAGGCTTTGTCAGAATCTGCACCACGGCGACTCCCGATGAGGGAACAGGAAGAAAATCATAGACATTCGTGATGATGTTGGATTGACCTCTGAGACATGCACTGGTACCAGGGGATCTTTCGCACGCTCAACACTCAAGGAAAAGGGGAGATGCATATACAGTCAGACAGTTACTGGTGCCATCGGAACTGGAACTTTGCTTGCTGCTGAAGATGGAGACGGAACGTCTCGTGTGCTGTGGTGTCAATTCTTATTTCAACATTTAACATTCATTTCACCAACAGTCTGTTTACACATAAGCCTATCTATCAAACAGATGTGCTGGCAAAACTTAAGTTCTAGAACAAGACTTCAAGTCCAGAAGGCGAGAACAGCCAGAATTTGTCACCACAGTTTATGGCTGGTAAACAGGAGGAGAGGGATGAGGAGAAGAAGAAATAAAGGAAAAACATTAACAAGAAGTATGAAGAAGAAAAAAGAAATAAGGAACTGATAATGATAACACAACTCACTCATTTCTCCAGAGGTTGCGATAATTCCACCAGTGGCAGAAACTAAAGTTGGCTGACCAAGAGTCAGTGCCGACTGACCAGTGACTGCTGTGGTATGGCCAGTTTGTTGCTGCTGCTGTTGTAAGTTTGTTGTAGGCACCCCTGCAGAAACCGCTTGACCCTGAACCTGAATCTGCTGCTGCGGTTGTCCCTGAGGTTGTATTGTAACAATAGTTTGGCCATTTACGGAAGCTCTGACCGGTGCCTGAGTCGTCAGTGGCTAAAACAACATAACATAAATTATTGTGGGAACGTGATGTTCCTTCCTACACTGAATTTCATATGTTCAGTTATGCCCTTGTTCTTTTTTTCTCTGCTGAGTTAGGAACAGTCCCATAAGCACTTTATCCCCATCTAAAGTTGAAGTCTGGCTTATTAAAAAGTAAAAAGCAGACATTTGTATTTTCTAAACTTAAAGTTTAGCTAATTAAAAGGTAAAGGGCAGACAACTGTTTTCTAAAGTTAAAATTAGGCTAATTTAAAGGTAAAGTGCAGACAACTGTTTTCTAAAGTTAAAGTTTGGCTAATTAAAAGGTAAAGGGCTGGCAACTGTTTTCTAAAGTTAAAGTTTAGCTTATTCAAAGGTAGGAGCCACCATGTTCTAATGGCTAGATGCTCACCTGCGGATTGGAAGGTCGTGGGTTCGGGTCCTGAAAGGGGCCTTACTTTTTTTTAAAAATAACCTTGGTTCCCAGGTCGCCCCAGCCTTGAGTGGGTACCAGGTACAGTCCTGGGAAATAAAGGTGGCTGGCGTGATGCTGACCACATCACCCATCAAGTGCTGTAAGGTCTATAAAATATAGGTCTAGCCCTATATGCCCAATACACCTGAAGGCGAGGAAAAGGGTCCTTTCCATTTTTATTAAAAGGTAAAAAGCAGATTTTTGTGTGTGTTAAGTTGAAGTTTGAAAATATTCTTACAATATTCTAACAACATGCTATCAATATCAAACATGGACACTGTCTTCAGAAGACAGAAGAAAAATAGTCACAACAGAAATGAAATATTTACATACTATGCTAGGTGTAATGAGGAAAGATCCACTTAGCAACGATGATATCAGGAGGAGAATCGGCACAGAACCTCTACTGAACTTTATTGGTAGACAACAAATCAAATGGTTTGGCCATGTAACAAGACTGGCAGCAGACAGGGCACCACAGAGAGCAATGTTATACAGATACCAAGATAACTAGATGCCCATCACGCAGAAGATGGATCGCAGAAATATCACAGACACTGAAAAGTACTATATACGAAGCGAACAGAAGAGACCGTTCTAGAGATCTCTTGCTCCCCTGACACCGTGAGGCATTCCACTAGTAGAGAAAAGAAGTTTAAAAACACTAACATTCTGTATTCTGTAACCACTGGGGGCCACTGTTGTGATGATTCGATTGTTGCTGGAAGTCTGCTGCAGGACCGTCTGTGGTGCTGAGACAAGCACAAACTGTCCACTTTCGTTTCGCATCAACAGAGCACCTTGAGGGATCGTGAATGTGCCCGTCTGGTGAAACAAAGGGAAATAACACAAATTAATTAAAAACATAAATTTTTTTTTTTTTTTTATCACTTAAATTTTATGGGAGAAAATAGGCCACTATGGCAGGCATGGGAGGTTAAGAGCCAGGGAACCAGACCTCCAGGGCGAACACTGGAAAGACAACATCGGACAGTCTCTGAATGACAGAGGACTGTAATGGAACAAAGCTAAACAAAAAAGCTGCTGATAGAGAAGTCTGGCAAATTCTCTGGCAAACCTCTACACCCCAAGGTAGAAAAGGAGCAACATCATTTTAACTTATGTTAGACAATCTACAATCTGTATCTTTACCATTGCCAGTCCCAGGCCTGGATAAGAAAGAAGGAGGGTTAAGCATGGGGGTCAAAACTTGAAGAAAAGGACGTCATTTCAGTAATCACTAAGTATGCGAACGAAAGAAGAAGAAGTAATCACTAAGTGGTGTGTGGTGCAGAGTGCAAGTATGATGGTAGCAGATAAAAGAAGCCAGAAGCGTGGGTCTGGATTCCATCGAAGATTTTGAAATGACCACAAAGGGTAGAGCGGAACTGCGAGCCCTGTGCGACATTTAATGGCACAACAGGACAATGAATTTACCTATATTCTTTGGTCACATTGTGGGAAAAGAAAATCTGCAATTCATCATGATAATGGGAAAGCATGAGATGAGAGAAGCAGAGAGAGATAGAGACAGAGGAAGCTGAGACAAGAGACCAAGCAAGATTATGTATCCAATTTAATAATAAAGCGCTGCTGGAACTTCATCGACCATGCACTCTAGGCTCAAGTGGAAAGACTAACTAACTAACTAAATTGAGAACTGACTGTTGTGTATTTGCGACAAAACATCATCATTTGTGTGACATTAGACGTCACACAGGGCTCGCATCTGATTCCTCCTCTGCACTCTATTGCATGCAACTCTCTCAATTTCTGACATGGAGTTCAGCCCAGCATTTTTAGCTTCTCGTAATAACGTTCTTAATGTTTCCCCTGGATGTCCTCTTTTTTCTCAGACCATTTGTTTCCCATTTCACTGCTTGTTTTGTCATTCTTTACTCATATCGTCAAAAAATGTGCCTAATATATCTCCACTTTTGTCTTATTGCAGTCAATACAAATGTTTGTCCAGATTGTTAAAATAGTATACTAATTATTGTTTGAAATGTGTCACATTTAAAATGTTCCAAGCTCAGGCACAAATGTAACTAGTACTAACCTACACATATTCTAGTCTATGACATATGAGATGGGATGGTTTCTTCCCTCAATGCCTTTCTTGCCCTGTAAATTATCTGGTGTCCATTTTCATGAAGCTGAAGCAACCCTAGGGCTGTATCAACCCCATGGCTGTATCAACCCCACGGCTGTATCAACCCCACGGCTGTATCAACCCCACAGCTGTACTGTTGGAACAAATTATATTTTTTTCCTGTGTATTTTCTTCTTCTTTGCATTCAGTTTCGTATGTTCAGATCAGATCATCAGGTGGGTTGCCTCTATGAATTCGCATGTCAGCAGCAGGTCCTTCATGGTTCCCCATAGCTTACTCTGCACACTGTGCTCTTGAGGCCAGGTGTCTTTTCGAAGTTGCAGGGAGAAAGGGCAGATCTGCAGAATGTGCTCAGGTTTTTGTGGTCCTGTTTGACAGACACACTGTGAGGACTGTACAATCTTTATTTTATGCATGTGGCAGTTGAGCCTGCAGTGACCTGTTCATAGATAGAAAACTGTTGTATGATGCTTCCTGTTAAGGAAGTCTGCTGATGAGGTCTTGTGTATGTTTACTGTTGGTTTGTTCTCTCCACAACTCCTTGTATTGTCCCTTGATAAGTGTTCTGATTTATAAGACAAGTCGTATTTTTTTTAAGCTCAACTTAAAGAAACACATATTTTAATCATAAACCATGTAAGAGAGCCCCCCCCCCCCTTCCCAATTTTAAACTTAAACATTGTGAGCAAACACATCCTCTTATACAGGGAAAAATATGGTATACTAATTCTGGAGAATGAACTCAGACCATTGTCTCAACAAGAATTAAAACATATAAACTTTTAGAACATGTAAACTTTATCAATGAACTATACTATACTATAAGATATATGCTTATTGATCTCATCACAAACAATTTTTTTTCGGAGTGTGCATGCATCCATGTAAAAATACTCCGTTTTATAAGCTTTTATTACGGTCACTCATGGTTTATGTCTGGTCAAAACTTGGCTTTTGATTTTGAAACTTTTTCTGAATGAAGTATAGAGTTGAAATTTTGCATAAGCACTCTTTGTGGATGACAATACACTGTGGGGAGATAATACTCCATTAAATGTATTTTACTGATAAACTGTGGTTTCAATGATGTGAGATTTATATAGCAAAGCATATTTTCAGGGGAGAGAATCCATGAAATCTAAGCCTATTTCATAACAATACTTTTATGTTCTATTTATTTTAAATATCTAGGTAGTGAAGCACATGAAACAGAGATCTAAGCCTCGATTTGGGATGGATTTAAATGAACCATGAGGCAGACCAAGAAGACGATGGAGAGATAATATCCAGACAGACCTGCAAACACTTGGTGTCACCAACTGGAAAGAGAAGGCCAAGCAGAGAGATGAATGGAGGCGGGTGATATCTGCAGCAATGAACCTTAAGGGCTCGGAATGGTGAAGAAGAAGGTAGTGTAGCAGGTTTCATCCAAAGAAGTAGCAGAATCGTTTCCAGACAGTACAGCTTCTGGGTTGACTCAGCCTTTAAAAAAATGTGATAGCAGACAATTTTCAGTATATTCTGACCCCCACGTGGGTTCCGGGGCCCTTTTGTGGGGAAAACAAGAATAGACCCACTGCCTCCCCAAAAGCATGTCGTAAGAGTCGACTAACTGGGGAGCTTCCTTTGAAGCTGGAGTGCATCTGCCTGACAGGCAAGGAACCAGCAGTCTGCATTCAATTGAATCAGATCTGTAAAACTGATGCACACGCAACACTCAGGTTCTGGAGCAAGACTGCAGTCCAGAAGTTGACGAACAACCAGAACTTTACGCCAGAGTGTACACCTGGTGAACGTGAAGAAGAAGAAGTATATTCTGAAAAGGTAAGGTGACCTAGGAACTGACCACCTTAACTCATATTTGTGGCCTAGAAGATATTGAGGCCCAGCATTGAAAGCCAGTATACTAAAACCATTATATGCCAGTGTCACTTAACATATTTAAAACAAATTAAATAACACGCATAAACAAAAATGCTTTACAAAAGTATTAACCTCGCAAGCTGTTGTTGTTTTAAAAATGTCTTAAATAACCTGTGACAATTACTGACATCTACAGAGGTAACATATTGTACACACATAACAAATGCTTTGCATATTCAAACTAACTGTAAGTTTCAGAGACTTGACCAATGACAAACAATGAGAATGTCAACATATTCTCTGTAGATGTATATAAACAAAAGAATATGTCATATTTCATTAAATCAAAAACAATTAAATACAGGGGTTCTGAAGTTATTGGGAATGAAAAGGCTTCTGAATAAAAAAAAAAGGGAATAGTAAAATATTTTGGCCACATTAAAAGACAACCCAGCGAGACGCTAACTACATCAGCCATTGACGGTCGATTGAATAGTCTATAAAAATTAGTCTGGCATCATATGCCAATGCACCACTGGTGTAAAAGAATGCCCCTACTTACCGAAAGATATGTTTTAGTTTGACAAAAACCATACTAGAGGGAGAAGTTCAAAGCAAGCAAACAAGAGGTAGACAGCAATACAAGTGGAAGGATAACATTAAAAGTTGAACGAGCAGCACTCTGAGACCGTAAAACCAGATCAGAGACCATACATATTTGATACCTATTCACATAGTCTTCACTGTGAAGACAGCACCTGACTAGCTCTTGATGTTTGCCATTAATAGGGTGGCTGGCACATTGTTTTGTTTACAGCAAGACTGTAAAATTTGCATCTTTCAGCCCGAAACATCTGGCTTCACCAACCACTTAATAATCGCCTTTCACTATGTTTTTTTTTTCAAAGGTCAGTCAATTCTTTTTCTCCTGGCAAAAGGGGCTCATGGAATCACAACGGAAAAACATGTCTTTTAATTATCAGTGAAAGTAATGTCATCAACTTACTGTCTGCGCAGCCGGCTGCCTTGGGGCTAGGTTAGGTTGCTGAATGCGCACATGTCCAGGACGAATTTGCTGTGTGACTGCAGGCCTTATATTTGCTGGATTACCTGCAGTAGAAGCATTCACCACCTGAACAGCTGGCGAAGAATTTGCAAGAGTTGTGGCAACGGTTGCTCGGACGACGACATGCTGCTGTGAAATTGGTGTATGTGCTTGCACAGTGACCATATTAGGACTGCTACCATTGGAAGCTCCTTTGATCAGCTGTTGATTGCCACTGGTTATTATGGGGGCAGGCTGTCGCACTACTTGTGACAAACCTTGTATCACAGAATTAGACATCGGAATCACATTTTTCACAAGAGGACCTATTTCTCTTTTAACAACAGTATGATTTGCATCACTCTTCACAATAATTTGTTGAGGTATCATAGATCCATCTTTATTTTGCACATTCTGCAAATGTGTACTACCGTTTGGCAAAACTGTCAATGGTTTCTGCTCAGCCGCAATAGTTGCTAAATTATGCATTGCTGCGCTTGCACCAGTTGCACTGATATTTACTCTAGCTAAAGGCTGTGGCTGGCGTACCATTGTTGCACTTTGAGTCAAAGCACTGTTAAAAAACTGCGCATTTGATACCTGGATTGGTGTATGCGGCATAGAGTTTAGGGGTTTTGTGTTATTTGTGACTATTCGTATAGATGGTGAAATGCTGGTGATAGGATGTTTGGGGGCTATGAGTGCTGCACTCTGGCTAGAGTTAGAAACAGTAACACTAGAGTTAGTCATGTTCACAGAACTTGGATGAATGATAGAAGATATTCCAATTATTTGGGAATTATTACCATTCCCTTTAACAGCTGAGTTTACCAGTGTGGAGTTGTTTGGGGCGACTTTGTTTGAAGCTACCACCTGGGATTGTGTTACTCCAAGACTCTGCGCACCGAGTGCCGTCTGCTGTGGATTTGCAACAACAACTAAAGTACTGTTAGGTACATTCACTACTGAAGCATTTCCCCCAGTGTGATTATTGTTGAACGATGACCCCGCAAGTATTTTATGAGAATCCTTGCCTGCAGTAAATGCTAACTGTGATTCCAATGATCCTACCAATGCGGTAACTTTGTTTTGGTCAATATCTTTCAACAGGAGATCATCAATCGACCCTTGGTCCGCCATTTCCTCTGCCTGACAATCAAATGGACTGCGCATGCTCTAAAAGAGAACCTTGGGATTGCAACATCCGCGCCATCTATGTTTCCGGTTTACAAATAATCGAAAATGATCGCCATCTTTTAAAACAGAGACGGGAATTATTGTATCTATCCACCGACATCGCTTTTCAGGCTAACTGTCACGGTGAATTCAACATGAGCCAGGGACAGGGTGTACCAGGGCCAGCTGGTGTTCCTGCATCTACTGGAGTTCCATATCTTGGAAGCAAAATTAGTTTAATATCTAAAGCCGAAATTCGATATGAGGGAACTCTTTATACAATCGACCCAAATGAAGCAACAGTAGCGTTAGCTAAAGGTTTGCGTAATACTTTTAAACTGATCTTCTTTCTTTTGTTGTGTGTAATATGTAAGAAAATGTTAAATTCAGCAGCCTGTACAATAGACTACCGTGATAAAAGTAATTACTGCTTCGACTTGACGCCTTTCAGTCAAGATTTTTCTGGTTGGTTCACCTAGTCACTTTGAAGCGCAAATTAATTACTAGACTAGTTATTAATCACCGAATAAGGTGGTATCACTATAAGGTGAGCTGCATTTTCAATCTGCCGTACTGTGAGTACCCTCCCTCCCTCTCTCTTTAATTAATTTGTACATTATTCCAGATTCATTTTAAGGTGTGCAATGAGCATAAACATTGCTGTAATCAATATCTCAACAACTCTCTTTTCTTTCGGCACTTTTAAAGACTTGAACCAGCAGCTTTACAAAAGGATTTATTTTGGGGACAAAGAAATATTAACAAGCTAGTTAGTTCGGTCATTAAAAATACTTTCATCATAAATACTAAGCAAGTATTTGAAACCTATATAGTAGTGCTTTTCTCTGAAAATCTTAGACCTTTTTCTTCTTAAACTGAAACAGACATTTCCAAGAAACTGGTAGATTTTCTGCCAATATGAAACAAGTAATCACCGAGCAAACATAACATATGGAAAAGTAAACGTGCTTTGGCTGCCTTACTTACTATGAGAGCCACTGAACTAAATGTTTGATTTCTTCTTTGTACTGTCAAAAATATACTAAAGATTAAACAAACTGAAACAAAGGAGACAAACATCACATTGCATTGCACAATTTACTGCCTTTCTTGACAGCACTAGAACAATAAATTGCTATGTAAAATGTCTCCACAAGGTCACCACTAATCACTAGCAACACAAGAGACTGGGTTACAAATACCAGCATTTGAAAATGAGAAATACTGTACATAATACATTGTACAGCTATCCTCCGAATAACGGTCCTAAATTATTGAGGCCGAAAATATACCCTAACAGGGCCTCAGTCACGTGTCAATTGCGGACTTCCGGCACTGCCGAGAGTATCTGCTGCTTGTGAGTCCCAGTCAGTTTAGCCCCCAATCCACACCGCACGTAGAGGCATGGGAGATACTCTCGGTGGTGGCAGTATAGTCCCCGGAAGTTCCCAATTGACACGTGCAATGAGGCCCTGTTAGGGTATATTTTCGGGTTCGATAATTTGGGACCGTTATTCGGAGGTTAGCCCGTTATACATTCATATGTATACTTACAGTACCTGCATTCATACATATCAAGACACAGAAATTTATAAAACCACATCAAATTTAAAAAGTTTGACAAACGGCGACATTGTCTTGATGTCCCATCAAATTTTGTTGTTTGCGCTCACCGGCTAAAAAACTCCTGTGGAAAGATCTAGTTGTTCGTCCATTTCTGGACTTTGGCTTTGTTCCAGGACCTGAGTTTTGCGTGTGCATCTGTTTTACAGATCTGACTTATTTGTATGCAGATTGCTGGTTCCTTGCCTCTGTCAGATGCACTCTGACTTCAAAGGCAGCCCCCAGTCAGTCGACTTACGACATGCTTCTTGGGGAGGCAGTGGGTCTATTCTTGTTTTCCCTACTACAGGGCCCCGGAACCCACACAGGGGCCATCAAATTATACAGTGATCATCATGAGTTGCAGAGTGGATTTTTGTATTGATTGACCTTAGCTTCCAGGTCAACTGCAGTCTACCAGGAAATGTCCTGGGAAATAAAAACCACTGGCATGATGTTGACTTATGCCTAGTTTGCGACTGGTGTGAAATGGTTCAGTTACTTTACCAACAGGGTCTAGAAATTTGTCTTTTTCGTATTTTTTAAAATATTGTCCATCATGATTTAAAACTGGTTTCCATGATGGAGGAAGTGTCAAAGGGTGTTTTAAGCATTTTCTTCTTTTTTTTTTTTTGGGTGTAAACTTCAGTGGAAAGTTCTGGTTGTCCGTCCACTTTTGGACACTAGTCCTGTTCCAGAAACTGAGTGTTGCATACACATCTATTTCACAGGTCTGAACTATTTGCACGCACTGTTGGTTCCTTGCATCTCAGGCAGATGTACTTTGACTTAGAAGGAAGCTGCCAATTAGTCGACTCTTACGACATTGGGTGTATTCTTGTTTTACCGACATTGGGGCCCCAGAACCCACAAGGGGATCAAGCAATTTCCAGATTGAGTTCATTTGTTTTTGTAACTGACCGGATTTGTAGCCTTAATAATAGTTACGAAAGCAAAACCAGGTTCTTTTCAGCTTTTTCAAACCCGTCTTGATGGCTTTGAGATTTGGCGTGTTTGTGTAATTTCCAGTATGTGTGTTGCTTTTGTTCATTGCCTTTACTGTGCCCTGTTTACAAGTTGTGTTCTTACCTACGGTTTCCTTGATATCCTTTTTTCCCCCCACTTCAATGCCAGTTAAGAGCTGGGTTACCTTTTCTTCAGAGTGTCATGCCCTCCATTGATGCTCTTTTTAAACCACTAAGGTATTTTCTTCGGCATTAGCCCTTAAAAGAAAGGTGTAGATGATGATGTTTTGGTTTACATCTAGGCTGATATCTGCATCTTTTGGCCCAGCACAGGTAGTTTTGCCAAGAAGTAAGACTTCTCTGACATACTTGTTACCAACAGTGGAGGTAGTGGGCTCTACTGGCAAATTTGGCCGGTAAGCTGGACTGCTTCGGCCGGCTTAGTGGGAGTTATGTCCCTTGGCCAAACTCAAAACAAGTCGCGGAAAAAGTCTCGAATCAAACGGCATACTTACCTATCATCATCCGGGTGCGTGTAGGGTTGCGTAGGGTGTCTATCATCGTCCTACGGTTGTGTGTAGGGCTGCTTATTGCGTGTAGGGTTGGTTGTTTGCGTAAGATAGATGAGGTTTAGGGTTAGGTGTAGCGTTAGATGTGACAATTGTGACGCAGTAGTTCCCTACAATCGCGCACAGTCGCATGCACGCGCAAACAGTCGATGGACGGTGGATGCTACTGACACGGACAATTCGCCACCGATTAGGCACCAGCCGCCGCGCGCTATTGTTGTCATATTTGGCGCACTTCCAGTGGCGCCACTCCCACAAGCATCAGATTGTCGGCCAGTATTTCCACCTCCTACGTGAATATTTTCACATCATCTAACCCTAACCCACACCCCTAACCCTACCGCTAACCCAAACCCTACGCAACCGTATGATGATGATGATAGACACCATACGCATCTCTACACGCAACCGTATGATGATGATAGACACCCTACGCGCAACCGTCTGATGATATGTAACCCTAGACGCAGCCCTACACGCACCCGGATGATGATAGGTATGTATGTCATTTGATTCGTGACTTTTTCCGCGACTTGTTTTGAGTTTGGCGAAGGGACATAACTCCCACTAAGCCTTGCTAAGCCGGCCGAAGCAGTCCAGCTTACCGGCCAAATTTGCCAGTAGAGCCGAGGTAGTGTCTCCCCAATTTGGACCCCTGAGCCAGCGTGTGAAATTATGGTATTAAATATGTTTCCAAGAAACAGTTTTGTATAAAACTAATGCCCCTTGATGTTCAGTAAAATATCAGAATTTATGTTTTGGGTCCCATATGGTCTCAAAATATTGCTGTAATTTTTTTTCTTTTTTTTTTTTTTTTTTTTTGGAAGCATAATTTGATTTTTTTTTTAGTCCAAAAATTATCAGAATATTGCTTTGTTTTTTAAAAGTATTTTTTTTTTTCAGTTGACATAAATTGGGGGGTTTTTTCCACAACTTCGCAGCTTTAAACTACACCTACAGCTTTTTTATTTGCCCTACTCTGATATTTGTATGAACCTCATTTTCCATATATTTTTATATTTTATTTTATGTGTTTGCGGCTCTCCTTTAAACTACGGCCGGTTAGTCGGAGTTCAGTCCCTTGGCTGCAGTGCAATTACGGAGTGGAAAAGAGGGAACGAAACAAAAGACATAATTACTGTGTGTTGGGGATAGGGTTTGGGTTAGGGTAACACATGTAACGTCGAGTACTTACCCATAATGACGGCCGCTATATCTGATAATTTTGACACAGGAGTTGCAAATAAAAGCCGAAAATATGCTGCTTGTGGCAGTGGCGCCATTGGAATTTTGCTCAATATGAAGGCAATAGCGCGACGGCACTTTGTTTTGTGATTCGTGCCTTCCCCACTCTTTAATTGCACTGTAGCCAGATGACTGAACTCCAACTAACCGGCCGTAGTTTAAAGGAGAACCGTGTTTGCTGCCTAACAGTTCTGATTCATTAATCGTCACCACAAACAATAATTGAATAACCGTATTATTATTTTTTTTTAAAATCTTTAAACCTCTAGAAATTAGAGAAAACTACTTGTCAATTGTAAGTCATACTAAAAGTGTGTGTATGCTAATGGGAAAGAAGACAGAATCAGAGAATTCTGTACGTTTTTTTTCTCATTGTATTCATGTGTTAACACCGCTGATACATGCTGTTGAGGATCGCAAGTTGTGGGAAGGCATGATCGCCTACGCCAGTTGGCAATAGGCACTTGACAATGATTGTATTTCTAATTAACAGTGCTGTTTTCATACTTGCATGTGTTTTTCCTTTACATTTTAAAGTGCACATCTTCTTTTCTTTTGTCGCAAGACCTGCTTTGTACTGTTAGGCATCACAGTTAAATATGTGATAAGTAGCGGAGCCAGGTCGTGCTTTGTATGCTGTGATGTTGTGTAGTCTTCAGTGGCTTTTTCAATCCGTCTTCCTATAGCTGTTGGTGTTGCCATTTTCATGGTGTACGCTTTTGCTGATGGCATCGTTTTATTAATTATCACTCAGAACCATTTTTTATCTGTGTTTTTCAGTTTATGGCCGAACCATTTCTGTTTCTCAGTTAAATTGGAACTCTGCGCTTGCAGCTGAAGATGAGACCGGACTTTGTGGGAATGTCCTGAGTGTTGTGATGTCGATTCTTAATTCTAGATTAAGGCTATTTAAGAAAAAGGGAGAGAGAACAATACTGTGTTAGCTGGAGATTTAAACCTAGACCATTGCCTTGTTATGCTAGCACACTAGCCACTAAGTGACTTTTCTTCAGTTGTCCTTCTCGGGCTTTCTTCCTATTAGCTCACCACTACCACTATTCTGCCTGGTGTAAAGATGATCTGTTTTAATAAATTTCATTCAAAAGCTTATCTTGACATTAACATACAGTAACTTGATCTCCTACAGTGCGGTCTTTCGGTACAGAGGATCGTCCAACAGACAGGCCCCTCCCACCCAGAAATGAGATTTTTGAGTTCATCATCTTCCGTGGCCATGATATCAAAGATCTCCATGTCTGTGAGCCTCCAAAGCCTCAGCCAACAGAAGGTGTGCCGCTGGATCCTGCAATTGTTAAGGTAACCTGTCAGGCCTTTTTTTTTTTTCAACCTTTTTTTAGATTTATGTCTTGCTTGCTGTGAAAGTTGATGGTTATGAGCTTTATCCTCTCAACGCTCTGGATACATCAGCAGGTGCTGTTCTTCTTTTTCGCATTCACATATGCATCCTTTTCACAGATCTTGCTTATTTGTATGCAGACTTTTGGTTCATTGGTTGTCAGGCAGATGTACTCCGAGGTCGAAGGATGCCCCCAATAAGTCAACTCCTGTGATGTCTTGTTGGGAAGGCAGTAGGTCTGTTCTTGTTTTCCCCTTAATGGGGTCCTAGAACCCACACGGGGAGGTGGAGGGTCATATTCCCCTCTCAACATACATCAACCTCCAGTGGCTAACAGTACCAGTTCTTGTTTTGTTTGACAAGACTTTCTTGCACATCTGCTGTCTCTCGTGCCTAATTGTATCAGCCGTTACTCCCAATCCTTGCTTTCTTAGCAACCCCACTACTGCTGTTTTGCTTAAAGTGTCACTCTAGATATATTTGTTATATTGAATCTGTTAAAAGTTAGTGCAGTTTTGATGGTTACGTAGATAAAACAATCATTTACACTAATATAAATATGGGTGACTAGTACACAAATTCAGCATTAGGCTGTCAACCGGCAGAAATAAACAGAACAGGACAAGAAGACTGCATTTTCTATAGTGAACCACCTAATGCAAGAAGTCCACAGCATTGGGAGTTAACCCCGTCACCCCAAGGAGATCAAACCTAGTCACTTCCAGTTGCGACACAGCCTGATAAATGCCTATATCACTATTCCTGCACTGACCTATTCTTGTAAAGCATAATTAAATGACATTGGTTTTGTGTGCACCTGCGCAGTGTTCAGCAGCCCCTGGATGTGAATATAATAAATACAGTATTTAGAGACAGTTTTTTTGGAAAATCCAGTAGCTATTTTAAAGCCAGTTTGACTTAAATTTCCTCATTAGCCTCATTTGATGGAGGTCACAGGATGAGTCCTCCAATACATTTTGTGTTTTAGGCCCCAGGAAATGCATTTCATTGAATACTCTGTTATTATTCTTTTTGCTCCCTATATATTACTTTATTATATATTTTGTAAAAGATATTTACAAATGTAGTTTTCTTTTAATGATTCATTACTTAACTGTCTACAAATAATTTTGTTTAAACATATTTTTTTCTCCAGAAATTCCCATAGGTTTGTCTCTTTTTCTTCACAGGATGAAAGAGTGAACAAAGTTAATTTATCTTTTGTTCGTCATGCTTAATTTGTGTTCAGTGGTCCAGAGTTTACGTTCCACTTGTGTTCTTTCTAGTCAAAAGTTAATGAAAGTATATCTGTCATTCATTTACACCAAGCATGCAGAATGAAAGACTTGTGCCCTTTATTTTCCCAGTGAAACATTTAGCCCTCAACCAACTCATGCCAAGATAACCTCCATGCATCTCACCCATTTTCTCCTCAAACTTCACTCTCTAGCTCTTTTTTTTTTCCTCCTGCCTATTTTCTTCTCTCTTATGTCCCATCCAACAGCTGCAGTGTTCCTCACCTATCGATTCAGTAAAATTTGTTTAGTACTCTCCCAAAGCTCAAAGTGAGTGGTTCTCTCATACGTTTAATCTCCTACTTTTTTGTACCGGCGCCTGTTAATGAATGTCTGTAGTTTTAGTTCTCCATGTTGTGATTCCTTGATACAGTGGTACGTAGTTGACATTAGAACTAAATAATAACTTGTTACTCTGAGACTTTCCGTTGTTGTTGTTTTTTTCCCCATAAACACAAATTGGAATGAGATAGCCAACCTCACCTTCATTCTACTTACCTGGTAGGATTCTGGGTTACCGTTCTTTACGTCTTAATAGGGCCCTGGTAACGCAAAGGTGACACATCATGAAAGTCACTGAGCTCTTGCAGCCTGTTTTTTGTCTTTACAGTCATCACAGCCTCCGCCAGGTCCAGCTGGGGCTGCCTATCCAGGAGTTTCCCCTGGCTACCCTCCCGGCCACCCGCCTGGCCAGATGTACCAACAGTTCAGTCAACCAGTGTATTACAGCCAGCAGCCAACTCCAGGGTTTGCCATGCCACCAGCTCAGGGCCAGCCCCAGACCGGTAAGTTATTGTATTGCTTGACGGCATCAACGTTACCCTGCTGAAGCAGATATCGTTGGCAGAACACCAAAGTACATGCAGTTTGGGGGGGGGGGGGGTTCGCCTAGGAACATTTTCAGGGCTGTTATTTGTCCACTTTACAATATGCCAGAGGCACACACAATGAATTCCTCCTCCTCCAAATAGGGCAGTATGAAGTGTCAATCTTCATGCAACTACAGTTTTTATCTGATCTCAGTGTCAGACATGATTTTCCCAAAGCATGGATTTAGCACTTTGGTGTAGTGCCAGCGATGTCTTCATAATCTTTAATTTGTGCAGATGTTCGCACTTTTTTTTTTTTTTGTTGTGATAACCTTTAGGAAAAGGCAACCTAATTTTTATTTTTTTTTTTTATTTTTTTTTTTTTTATTTTTTTTTTTTTTAGTTTTATGTGAGTTGTAGCATTCTTTTAACACATGTTACCTAAATAGTAATTTAATATGTGAGCGCTAATACTGGTTACTTAAAGTTCTTTTTTCTAAGTTCACCCTCAAAAGAGCAGTTGGCACATTGTGTTGTGGTTTACAGATAGACTGCAATATCGGCACCTTTTGACCCATATCCAACTTCAGCAAATCTAGCGCCTTTTACATATACTTGTTAAGGAGCATTTTGTCTTCTTTCCCTAAAAGAAAGGGGGGGGGGGGTGTTTCAGAGCTCACACTAGGAGGTTGTTGGTTTGATCAGGAGCTGAGTTTAGAATTGCCCTCCTGAAATGCTGATCTGTCAGAAAGAAAATATAGCCTTCATTGTTGTTTGACACCTGTTTTTCTGCATTTTCAAATTTGCTTTGATTCTGTGTGTACTTATTTGGTTGTAGGGAAATTATTCAAACCAAAGAACACTGTTTTAACTCAAAATATCATAGCGGTAATATATTTTGAGTTAAAACAGTGTTCTTTGGTTTGTTTAATTTTTTGGGCATGCTTTTTTTTTTAAGTTGACCTGTGCTAACTTTAACAACTGTTTATTATGTCAGTGCATATGCAATGTTGTTATAATGCAGTGGTTCCCAGTTGGGGGGTCTAAATTTAAGGGGTCTGTGATATCATTCATAAAACGAGAAAACCTTTGCAGTTCTCATTTATATTTACTCTTCTTTCTTTTTAAATATGACTTTCAAAAATAGGGGTAGCACCAGGCCTTAGAAAATTAAAAAAACATCTGCGTATATGATCTAATTGGAAACCACTGTTTTAGTGCATTGTCTGGTTTGTTTGTTAGATGAAACTTGTGTTTTTTTTTTTTTATTGTGATATTTTCTATTGCATATTTTTAGTACAAATACTTTTCTTTTTAAAAACAAAAACAAAAATGTTGCCCACCTGGTCAGGGTCTTGACAATTTTGCTACTAAACCACTCAAATAAACCCCCCCCCCCCCCAAAAAAAAAAGTCATATGTCTACTTTGGGTAGTGGCTGGATTTGTCTGTTCTGGCGTAAACTCAGCATTAACAGAAAGTTGCCAGTTAGAAATAGTTCATGATGCTTACCCACATAGGGCAACAGGGCGCCCAGTAGAACTGATGCAGTTGAAATGGGTCTCTGTGATTTGTTTCTGTTTGATTACATCCAGATAGTGGCTCCTTGGGTCACTGGATGTCAGTCTTTCAGGCTGTAATCCCGGAGGGATCTAGGTTCATCCGGGTAACGATCAGAGATCACAGCTTTCATGACAAGCCTATATTAGCTCTGCCTGGCACATTCAGCGAATGACGATAGTACGCAGGAAATTTTATTTATTCTGCTTTTAAAAGGTCTGTTGGCTCGTCGTGCTATGGTTTACCATGCATGTGCATGTAAAGAAATGTGTTCCCACCACGCCCAGGGACCCTCACAGGGAACTCTTAACAATTATTTGTATTTGAATGTAGGTGGCTTTTCATGAAATAACTTGGTGTACTACATAATCCCTATATGAATGTTGTGGTTGTTGTTACACCTATATTGTGTAGGCTCTGCAAGGAACCCATCGCCAGGAATTGATCACTCGGTTGAGCAGATGAATCGGACACCGCCTATCACTGCCGTTGGCTCAAGACCACTTGCTGGTGAAGTCTTAAATCTTTATTTTTACTATAGCAAATGATTTGTAATTTGAATCTGACCAGTACAGATATTGTGTAAAATTGGCCTTGGCTCCCAGATCGCACAGCATGACATGGTGTTGACTACATCACACATTTTGAACTGATGAGCCTAAACATATATTAAGTTTAGCACCATGTACCCGATACACCACTGGTGCAAAAAAAAAGAGTCCTAAATTACTGGGGTGTTTTTGTTTTTAATAACGTAAAAAAAATTGTTTTATCTTTGTGCCGCATCCTTTATTGTATGGGCTACCAAAAGAATCCGATCTCATGATAGTTCTTCATTTTAGAATTTAAGAAAGATTGAAAATTAGGCATAGAGTGTAGGAAAAGCAACCTGAATATTAGAGTCTTAGAGAAATGAGAACCACCTTCATACATTAGAAAGAGCACAGTGAAATGCTCTCTCTCTCTCTTTTCCCCTCCCTCCCTCTCTTATCTCTTCCTCTCTCTCTCTCTCTCTCTCTCTCTCTCTCTCTCTCTCTCTCTCTCTCTGTGTGTGTGTGTGTGCAGGTTTGGGTCTGTGCACGTGTGTCTGTTTCTGTGGAGTGTTTGTGTAGGTAGGTATGTATGTTTCTTCTTCTGCGTTCGACATCAGTCATGCTAAACATTGAGTCCTGTCTGGGTCACAGATAGGATTGTGCATTTAAGGTCGCCACCGGTCCCCCATAGCTTCTCTCGCAATGTGGATCCCCTGGGACAGATCCAGTCTTTGCTGGGAGAGGTCAGGGCAGTACTGCAGTATGTGCTCAGGGGTCTGTCTTTCTGCTCCACAATCACAGGCAGCAGATTCTTTTATGCTTATCCTGTACAGGTATACTCGAAGACTACAGTGTCCAGTCCAAAGTCTAAAAATTGATGTTTGTTCTTTCCTGTTTGTTTATGCTGTCACTCTCTGGTCTGTAATCTCTATTCTGCCTTTTCCACTCCCGTTTGAAAGACTGCTTTAGCGCTGTTTTGGTTTCCTTGTATCTGTGTGGTGGATGAGGTTGTGGAAGATTACTCCCAGCTTTTGCCAACTCATCTGCTCTCTCATTTCCTTGAATACCACAGTGGGCTGGTATCCACTGCAAGACCAGTTCTGCTTCCTTGGAGAGTAAGCCAATGTTGGTCATTAGATCTGCAATTAGTTTCTTGTTTTTTGCTTGATAGTGCTTGGAGAACAGACAATGAGTCACTAAGTATAACAATTTTGTGCCCTCTGTGTTCTTGTGTGATGAGATGTTGGACTGCAGAAAGGAGGGCAGTTGCCTCAGCTCTGAAGTTAGTGCAGATGTCACCTGCTGGTAGAGAGAGAGTTTCTGCTCTACTGCTAGGGGATTTAATGTATATTCCACAACCTCCCTTTCTGACTGCACCTGTAGCAGAGCCGTCGGTGAAAACCTGAGTCCAAGTGGTGTTTGGATGCTTCTCATCAAGCATAGCAAGAGCCAGGGTTCTCTGTTGTGTCTCCGTCTGGGCATCTTTTGAAGTGATCCCTAGTACCTTTAGGACTACATTTGCCTTCTCTGGCTTGCTTGTCCATGGTTCTGGCATGTATGTTGGTGAATGGGAGTGTATTTATGAGTATGTGAAGGTATGTGGGTGTGTATATATGCATGTTTTAAGTAAGTGGGCGGGCGCGTGTATGTGTGGTCGTGCGCTAGTGAGTGCATTCATTTTACTTTTTTATTTGATTTTTATAATATGCATATTGTCATATGAGTATAACATGCTTATTAATAAAATACAGTTGCAGTGTGAAAGATGGGTGTTTGGAAGGCCCGAATGTAAGACAGGCCTATGTTTGTTCTCTCTCTCCCTCCCTCCCTCTTCCCCCCCCCCTTTTTTTTTTCTTCACCCTCCTTCTCCCCTTTCCCAGTAGGTAACTGGAGGCAGATTTTTAAGTATTTGTGTGTGGTCTGTATAAGATGTTATAAACGGGGAGAGGTGTTTTTTTTAACACTTGTTTGCTGTAATGCAGAATTTTGAAGTCATTTATGTTCATAGTGTCTTTAGGAGAAATTACATTTTATCTCATGGAAAAGGTTTATATTCAGTTTCACTTTTGTCACAACCAATTAAAATTCCTTTTGATATGCATGCATCATTTAGAAAGATATACTCACCTCTTTTATATGTTTGTTGTTTGAAAATAGAAAATATACTTGCATTAAAGTAGTCAGAATATATTTAGTTAGACAGTCTACCAAATCATTATTTTTATTGACAACTAGCATAGTAACATGCCTAGCATCTTTAACTTTTTACACTTCATAAACAATGCACCATATGTGAATGCAAATGACCCGTCTGTACTATTAGCATGTTATGTACACTTGTATATATAACTTTTGAATAGAGTCTACTAACTCTGGCAACCTACTTACCCTGCAAGATAATTTATATTTAGTCCTTGTGGGTGTGGTAGGCCTGTGTTTTTAGTGTTTGCTTTTACTGCCCCAGAGGTTGCAAATGCGCTTTGATTTTCTGAGGTGTCACTTTGATCCCAGCGTTTGTTTGGTCAGTGTGGTGGCAAGAGCTGACCATACAGTAAGCAGTGGTAAATTACTAATGCCAAATAAAATTGCCTGGTAAGATCACAAACAGCCAAAAAAAATGCTGAGGTTGGTTCTGCAACGTCCTGTAAAGGACACACAACTAGTTAGTTAGTATCCTCATTGCACATTGAACCATTCAGTCCATACGTGCTCGGATCCACACCTTAGTAAATCTAGCAGTGTGTAGCGTGTTCTGTGTTGGTTTCTTATTCTGCTCTGGCTTCCTGCATATTGCTCTTTTCTGGCCTCACCCCTTTTAACATGTTGTTCTTGCAGTCTGATCATTGTTGCAGATTCAGCCATCACTTGGCTCTCTCAAAAGTCTTACTTCTCGTAGTGCATTCAGAATATCAGCATGGTCCATGGCTTGTCCACCCTCCACAATAGCTTTACCTGCAAGCTGATCAGCTTGCATCAGCTTGCTCATTTCCTTGCGTGCCCTGTGACAAACTGTTTTTTACTGCGTCTCTCAGGCATTAGCTACAGCCTCCTGGCGTTCACAAAGTTGTGTTTAGCAACAGGCAATTACAGGATTACTTTTAAATAAACACAGAAGATTTTTATAGTTACTGTAATGACACTCATTTTAGTGTTCATATAGCATTTTTTCCAGAATGTCTGATCTGAACAACAAACAATTTTTTTTTTTTAATCAGCCAGTGATATATAGTCCTTGAACCAACTCATGCCAAATGGTTCCTGTCTTTTGCATCTAGCATACCTTATGTCCTCCTTATTCTTTTCACTTCACTCTTTATTTTCTCTGAGTGTTTTTGGTCTGCCTGTGTTCCTTTGATCCTTGGGGTTCCAGTACAAGGACATTCTAGTTACAGTCGAGTCTGCATAAGTAGAAGTCGCTGGAAACTAAAAAAAATGCTTCCACTTATCAGGAATTCTACTTATCTGGACAGAACCCACAATAGAGAATGTACACTAAAACCAAGCAGTAGCATTGAGTAGAATAATTAAACCAGTTAGGAAACACCATAATTTAACAAATAAATAGCAATAGAATTTCAGAAATACAGCAATATTTAATTATTTTAGATGTTATAACATTAAAACAATATGAAAATTCAGACATTAATTACAGAAAAAAGTATGATTTTTCAATGCTTTTTGGGCTGTGGAAAATGTCTTTCCTTGGCATGTGTAAATGCAACAAATGGTGAGATTACACCATCTGAGCACCCAGTCTGCATCATGTAAATGGTAATTTTGTCCATGTGTGCTAAAACATCCGACTGTTATACAGGTACAGAATTATATTTAGCCAAAGCAGGTTTAAGCACATCTTCTCTCCATGAATTAGTTGTTGCTTTATCAACAGATTGTTTCTCTCCACACACACCCTTGTATATGATGCAATGGCTTTTTTTTTTTTAAAACAATCGAACAAGCCAGCACTATATTTCCCATCTGTCTGACCTCCAAGACTTGCAAATTCTTCTGCTTTTGCCCTAATTAATGGCCCATTCATAGGTACATTTGCCGATCTAACCTAAGTGAACCATTTTAAAAGGGCAGCATCAATAAAATCAAATGTCACTGTTCTAGCTCGCTGTCTGTCACTGTTGATTTTACACAGCTTCGAACTTTCTTTGTCTCACTATGTTCAATCTCTTCCAATAATTGTCTTTCTTTTTAAAGTTAAAGCTGTCCACTGTATGTATTTTGTTTCTTCTGTGTTTGCCACTGAAAGGAATGTTGTTGTGGTTTTCAGCTAGGCTGGTTTGTTTGCACTTTTTGGCTCAGCATCAGTTTCAGCAAACCCTTTTTTCACCCTAAATAGAGCGCCCCACGCGCGCATACACATATGGTGATTTTTCATTCCATGGTACACCTCTTTCCATGACCAAATCAAACCTTAGCTGAACACTGACCTCAGAGCTGACATAAAACAAAGGGGATCTCGGCAATGTGATTGTAAGAAAGAAAATGCTATAATTGGTAGGGTTTACTTTTTTTCTCCCTCTTTCCATGCATTATCTCTGCTTGGTGTACTCCAGTAAAGTGCAGCACGGTGCACTTTTAAAATTATACCCTTGTGTCGATTTCCAGGATCTCAAAGCTCGACACCGCCTCTAAGCAGAAAATCTCCAACATCGGACCAAGGGGTCCAAGTTCAGCCAGGAAGTCCAGACAAACCATCACATGATCAGTTGTACAACCGACAGCCACACCATCAGCAGAACCAGCAGTTCCGTAATCAGAATGCAAGAAGAGGCGGTGGTTTTCGCCAGAACAACACCGAAAACCGAGATGGTAGTTATCGCCAGAACAGCATCGATAACCGAGATATCAGTTATCGCCAGAACAGCACTGACAACCGTGATGGCAGTTATCGACAGAACAGCTTTGATAATCGTGATGGTAATTATCGCCAGGACAGCATTGATAATCGTGATCGTGGTGATGGTGGTCATCGGCAAAACAGCATTGATAACCGAGAACGTGGTGAGCGAGGCTCTTCAGCTTCTTATTCCAGGGGAAGAAGCAACAATAGAGGTTACCATTTTAGCTTAGTTTTGTTGGTGTGTTTGCATTACACAGAAAACTGACCTTCACATATGACAAATTTCAGTTTGGGTAACAGCTCTTTTTCTTCAGTCTGTTCATTTTGTTTACTATTATTATTTTGTTATATTTTTTCTTTCCGCAAGTTTTTTTTAAAGAACAAAATGAAAGTGCTTATTTGGGTGTGTGTGTGTGCCAATAACTGATTTTTCGTGGGTGTTTTTTTTGTGTGTGTGTGTGTGTGTGTACGTGCAGCTAGTAATTTAACCAAGTCGCTACGATACAGTCAGATGTGTATGTGATTGTAATTTAAATATAAACTGAGATTTGCCATGACCAAGTACAGGGAGTAAAAGAGAATTGGAAGGTATGGAGTGGCTGCTTGCGATAGCAAAAGATAAGCCATCTTGGCAGGAGTTGGTTGAGAATCTATTGAAGATAAGGGGCACAAGAAAAACAGTACCGAAGTTGGGGGGGGGGGGAGGGCAGACCCACAGCTTACAGAGAAAAGACAAGACAAACATATAGTCTTACTGCTGCTGGCATCTTTGCAGCTCTGCGCTGGGTACTGAAGATAAGGATGAGTGCTTGTGAGAATGTTATGCATGAGGCGATATAGGTTCTCGCCTCAACCACAGGGAAAGAACTAGACAGAAGAGGCTGATGGATATGAAGTGAAAGCAGGGCTGAATGGAAAGCATAAAGGAAAGTGGACAGTCCTTCTGAATAAACTGGACAGTATGTCTGAAACTGATTTGATTGGGCAGAGACCCAAAGCAAAAAATGCACAGAATAGAGCTGAACTGAAAGAAATTTTTTTGGGAGGCTTTTCGTTAAAAACACAGCACTCTTAAACAACCCTTAAGTACGGTAAAAAATTAAAGATCCCTTTTTACGCGTTAGGCACATTGGGCACCCACATTTTTACAGACCAATCGGTACTGGGTGGGTGATGTGGTCAGCATTACGTAGGCTATCTTAACTTCCCCAAGACACGATCCTGGTACCCATTTAAAGCTAGGTCGGCCTGCATAGCCCCATACCATGATAAAAAGCCATGCAGCCAGCAGTGGGTTTCGATCACGGTATGTTGGAATTACGAGTCTGACTTGCAATGCCTGAGCCACGGATGTAAACAATTTTACTGGAGGTAAAAGTTGGACGGGAAGTGGACAAATTTAGATATGAATACAAATGGGAGGATGCCGTCAAGATGTGAAGAAGCAGTAGCCTTGGAGTATACCACCAGGATAAAAGACAATATTGGGGATCCATTGCACTTTTATTGTGGAGAAGGCAACTTGATGAGAGAAAGCAATCACTGAGGAACCCATGTGGCCAGTTACTTACTCCCTTAGCTTTGCTGTTAACTCCAGCAGACAGTTCTGGTTGTTTGTCCACTTCTGGACCTTTGTCTTGTTTCAAGTCCTGCGTTCATTTGCATTTTACAAATACATCTTATTGATATGCAGATTGTTGGTTCCCCGTACTTCAAGCTGTTGCACTGCGACTTTGAGGAAACACCCCGGATTTTAGAACATGCTTGTTGAGGGCCGTAGTTCTGTTTTCCTCCTCCATCCCCACCCCACATTTTGAAGTCATAACATCAGTAAAGATTGATTGATTGTCAGGAGTATTGACTGAGCTTGTTTTTATTTTTGTAGCTCAAATTAGAGGAGGGCCACCTCGAGGAGGTCATAGAGGTGTTGCACCTCGGGGGCAGGGCATGCGTGGAGGAAGGTCATCGGAGCCTCTCAAATTTGACACAGACTTTGACTTTGAGACATCCAATGCTCAGTTTGACAAAGAAGATATTGAAAAAGAGCTGAAAAATCTTTCTCTGAGTAAGTTTTCTAAAATTTGTGCATACCAGTCACACATTATTTTATCAGTTGCTTTTAACATAAATTCTGTTGGAATTTTGTTGTTTTTTGTTTGTTTAATGTTAAGTTCAGTCCTTTGCACACTGGACACTGCTGTTTGGAATAGTTTATTATGGGGGGAATCGTTTCAGTTCTATAACAGTCTTCTTTACAGACTAATCTTTTGTTTGGAACTGGATTCTTTAAAAATTGATTATGTTATTAGAACAGTAACTTTTTTGGCACATTTTTGCATTTTGTTGTTGTTGAAATTATTAAGTCTCATTTGCAAACATGATATTTCTAGGGGTAGGCAGTTTAAAACTTCTTCAGTTTATTTTAGACCAGCTGTGCTGGCGGGGAGGATAAACAAATCAGATTTAGAAATCCGTTAAACAGAAATGTCAAACTGAGGGACCCCAGCTGGTCAGATGGGTCACATGTGTATCATGAGGGCCACACTCATGACGACTAACGGAAATAATCAAATTTAATTTGCAGAATATTTGTATAGTGAGGGCGGCAGATGTGCTTGCAAAGGGCGGCCAGTTCGACGTGCTTGCATTAAATGATAGTGTGAATCATAGGACAGCAAGTGTTTGCCAAATTACCTTCTGCTTCTTTTTCCCCCATCGGAGCATAGGCCCCCTTAACAAATTCATACCGTCATTCTAAACCTTTGCCCTTATTTTCAGCTTGCCCCAGTTCTCATTCCCCCCACCCTCTAATTTTCTACTCTACAATTTGTTGGGCCTGCCTTTACTCTGTTGACCCAGTGGGTTCCAGTGGACATTTTAGTAATATTATGATGTTTTCTCATTCTCTGTGTGTCCTATCCAGGGCCAGCAACTTCCCCCCCCCCCCTTTTTTTTTCACTTAAATGTCTAGTTTTCTCCTAAACTGTATGTTTGTAATTATATCATACCATTTCTTTCTGTTCTGTGCAGGCACTAGTTAATGGACATATGTAGTTTGTGTGTGAGTGAGAATAATTGTTTTAGTCATTGTTCGTTCACTTTGTAGCTCCAGAAGGTTTAAAATCATTAATTAGGTATATTAAAAGTAAACTTTAAAATATTGTTTGTAATCTCCATTCTCTAGGTGACAAGTCTGTAAATGGTGATAAAGGAGAGGAAGAACCTGAAATTGAAGAGGAAGAAGGAGAAGAGGAAGGTGAAGATGAGCCAGTATTCTATGACCAGAAGAAATCCTTCTTTGACAATATCAGCTGTGAGGCTTCAGACAGAGCTAAGGGGTAAGAACTCAGCCAGGTGACATGTGTTTGCTGCATCGGTAGCCTGTCTGAAACTCATCAGACAGTTGTTGCCTCAACACTTGTCACCCAGAGCTCATATTTCCCTAAATAAAAGTCACATGCCCATCCACACCTGAATATTGACTTATCTGTCCAGTTAACTAAGTAAAGTAGTAGTGAAGGACCCTAGGCTAGACCTATATTTTATAGACAAACGACACAAGATGGGTGATGTGGTCAGCATCATGCCGGCCGCCTCTACTTCTCGGGACTGCACCCGGTACCCACTCATTGCTTGGTCGACCTGGGAGCCAAGGTCATTTTTTAAAAGTCTGGCTATGCCAGGGAGCAAACCCACGACCTTCCGATCTGCGGCTCGCATCTAGCCGCTCTGCCATGGCGACTCCCCGTCCAGTTAACTAACGTTGACCTAATTGTAGATTTTCAGCATTTCTCATTTTAAAATCACCAGTAATACATGCCTGAAATATTTTCTTATAGACTTCTACCGATGGAGCCTCCACTGACTGCACACCAATCTGTCGAGTTAATTGACCTAATTATAAATGTTAATATTTCCTTATGTAAAAGTCAAGCGCCTGAATATTTTCTTCTTTGCTCTTTGGACTGAATGCCACCATGATGTGTCTATGATCGAGGCAGCCAGAAGAGCACAAAGTAGGACCTTATGTCTCCCTCAGCACCCGAAGTGGTAAAAAAGGACGCAGAGAAGAAGAATGACCACCAAAAGCCCATACAACACACACACACACACACACACACACACCCTCCCCCCCCTCATGTATTTAAAAGTACCAACCTTAGTGTTTTGTTTTCTGCAGCTTTTTGGAAATTTTTTTTATCTGCTTTAAGTAACACAGAAATTACATTGTACAGTTATTGTCTGGCATACTTTGTTTTATCATACCAGATGCATTACCAAAAAGTTACCATCAACAGTGGTAAGCTCCTTCACCTCAGGCTGAACTTAGCAAATTGGCTGCCCAAAAAGTCGGCTACTCTCATCCCAGTTTTATATGCCAGGAAATTAAACTGATAAACTTCTAAGAAATGGGAAGAATATGAACAGGAAGACAATGCAGTCACATACTTTGCTGTTACTTGACCCCCCTCCCCCCTCTCCCCTCAACATTTATCTCTTGGATTGTTAAAAGCTGACCCGAAAACAACACACTTGGCTTACCCCTAGATGCTGTTTCCCATATCTAAGACAACACACACACACAAAGTATTAAACTATGCACAGCAAAATCAAACTTAAAAGTCTTTAATCAGAGAATTTAATCAGTGCATAAAGCTTGAAAATAAAGCAAAGGCATTATTTAAACCCTCGCTTCATGTAAAACTTGAAAAGAGATCACTTTTTTCTCTCCCCGAAACACCTGCTTCTGTGAAACTCTACACTTAAAAACTAAAGAAGAATGCAGAAAAATTTTGAGTCCTGATCAGGTGGTTGAAACCTGTGACCACAAAGCAGACAGGTGAGCCTGCTGGCAATGGCGACCACCAAGTCACTGCAAAAATAGTTGGTAAAAAGACATCTTTCTACTAGCATAGTAATGGTTATTGAGAAAGACATCCTGACATCATAAACCCGACAAGCCAAAATCTCACTCACTTGGCAGCCAGGTTTAAAAAAAAAATTGGCAGATTTGCTCTTTTTTTTTTTTTTTTTTCACGTCACCGGATGTAAACTCAGGCAGAAATTTGTTTTTCATCCACTTCTGGGCTCTAGTCCTGTTTCAGAAACTGAGTGTTGCGTGCACATCCTTTTTACAAGTCTGACTCATTTGAATGTGGACTGTTGGTTCCTTGCCTCTCCGGCTTCGAAGCTCCCAGTTAGTCAACCCTTATGACATGCTTTTGGTCAGGCAGTCTGTTCTTATCCTCCAGAACCCACGTGCAGATTTGATTTATGCTGTAGTCAGTTCTATGGAAAATGTTTCTTTGTATCGATATATATATGCGTGTGAATCAAGTAAATGTTTGTTGTGAGGAGAAAACTATTTACATTTTCTGTTCTGTCCACAGGCAAAGGACTACTTGGAGGGAGGAAAGAAAGCTGAACAGTGAGACGTTTGGCATCTCAGAAAACTTCCGCCGTAACTACAGAGGAAGACACAATTGGAGAGGTGGCAATATGCGTGGTGGATGGCGCGGAGGTCGTGGCCGTGGTGGAGGGGGTTACAATAGAGAAGGGGGCGGTGGTTATTATGGAGGTAATGGTATTTTTCCCTGCATTTATGTACAGTAAAATTTTTTGATCAACTTGTCACTTGTTTAACCGTCAGTTTCTGTTATCTGTCGTCATTTTGAAAAGGACAAATCTTACAACTAGCCACTCGAAAGCAGAAACATTATCAAGGTGAATCAACTTCAGAGCTATACTAGCAGGACCTTCCAAGCCACATAGGTCAAAGGCAAGAGAAAAGACAGACAAAAAGGGATTCTCTACACTCTTCTCCCAGTGTACACAGCTTGTCTGGTGTGATGTTGACAGCGTCATCCATCGTGTGACAACTGTCTGGTGTGATGTTGACAGCATCATCCATCGTGTGACAACTGTCTGGTGTGGTGTTGACAGAATCACCCATCCTGTGACAACTGTCTGGTGTGGTGTTGACAGAGTCACCCATCATGTGACAACTGTCTGGTGTGATGTTGACAGCGTCACCCATCGTGTGACAACTGTCTGGTGTGATGTTGACAGCGTCATCCATCGTGTGACAACTGTATGGTGTGGTGTTGACAGCGTCATCCATCATGTGACAACTGTCTGGTGTGGTGTTGACAGCATCACCCATCCTGTGACAACTGTCTGGTGTGGTGTTGACAGTCACCCATCATGTGACAACTGTCTGGTGTGATGTTGACAGCGTCATCCATCGTGTGACAACTGTCTGGTGTGGTGTTGACAGCATCACCCATCCTGTGACAGCTTGTCTGGTGTGGTGTTGACAGCATCACCCATCGTGTGACAACTGTCTGGTGTAGTGTTGACAGCATCACCCATCGTGTGACAACTGTCTGGTGTGGTGTTGACAGCGGCCCTATCGTCGCTGATCTTACCAACATATGGGTCTAGCACTATATGCCAGAGGTGTGGGAAAGAAAGGTTCTAGCCTTTGAATGCAGGGCCATATTTATGAATATGCTACATTTGCAGCAGCACAGGGTAGCCAAAAGTAGCTACCTGTAAAGTCTGAATTAGACTGTTTTTTCCTCTTCACACAAGCTGTTAACATGTAGTGATTATTTTCTGTGTCTTTACCATATATTTTTGTCATCTGAATAATTTATAAATTTGTAACTTGCTCATTTGTTTCATCTCCTGTGTATTGTTTTCAGTTAGGTTTAAATAATTCAGTACAATTTAAAATTGAAGTACCTAATCCCACAACTGATTGTTGGTAGTGTATAAACAAATTTTTATGCTGAAGTTTCAGAGAGGGAGAAAAACGGTGTAAAATAAATGACTGCACGTGAGCATCATGTGTCTAAATATGAGTCTGCTTGTGCGTGCCATTCTTTATGTTGGTTTCCCCTTCCAGGATTGTCATCTGAAAGTTTAATTTGTTAATAGTTAAATTGTGGGGTTTAGGAAGTTTGTCAAAATTAAAGCCACTAATAATTGAGCAATTGGTGGAGGGGGGGATTATACCGTAGTTATTTTGGTTGTAGAAAGACTGCTGACCTACCTAAATATTTGCAAGACTCAAAAAACCTGTTAAAAACATTTCAACTAATTAGTTTTCTCTTGCAGGTAACAGAGGTGGTGGTCGAGGCCGAAGGAACTGGGATTATGACGACAGGAGACGATTTGATGGTCCTGTAAGTTTTCATTGAACATTTTCTTGTGGCAGTGTTCATTCTCTTTCAGATTTGATTGATCTAGCAACATACAGTGTATTCATTATTGTTTAAATAATTTATTTTATTTCTCGGCCTCTTTATTGCTCCCGGTTCATTTAAAGTGCATCTACCTTGTAGAAACCAGTAGGCTGCACACAAATAAGCTAGTTCTGTAAAATGGATAGGCATGCATCACTCAGGCCCTGAAACAAGACCAGCAGCGGACGAACAACCAGGACTTTCCACTATAGTTTACAGCCAGCTAACGGGAAGATGAAGGAAAAGTTATAAGACAATGTGTTGGGTACATCCTGAAGAGAATCACCAAAACAGGCACTTAAATGGGAAACAGATTGAGGAAATGAAATCCAGAACCTACACTTATGAGAGAGGCCAGTAGTGGGGAAGGATTACATCCATGATATTGGTAGTGAAACAGTTGTCGCAGGATAGAATGGAAAAATAAGCTGTGAGCCCTATGTTACCTCTAACAACATAATGTGATTATTTACCAGGAGTTTAGAGTGAGTGGATCAATTTTACTGCACTTGATTTATCCTGTATGGCAGGGCTATTCAACTGGTGGCCATATCTGGCCCACAAAGATCTGTCAAGTGGCCAGCATATTGTTGATCTTTCTGTGGCCCATGAAGATTCCCAGCTGCAAAATTTTGGCGTTTTAGTAAACTAAGTTGGATAGCCCTGCTATGTGGCTTAGTCTCTGTCTGCAGGGTATTACACAGTGCACAAATTTCCTTAGCCACAGCATCGATTGTGAATGTGTAGGTCATCATGTAAATCCATGGTGGGCCATAAGGTGTTCTGAGGCAAGGTTAGAAGCCATGTCGTGGATGTTGAGATAGCCATGGTATCAGTTGCTGTCTCAATGGTCATGGGTTTGAATCCACTTGAGCTTCCAGTCTACTCTGAATATTTCCTGGGAAGCGAAGGTGGTTGGCAGGATGTTGACCACATCATCTGCTATGTGGGTTTATCTGTAAAAGATGATAGAGCCATATTCCGATCTACCAGTTCATGTTAAAGGGGTTCTTTACTTTTATGCAGATTGTGCGTAATTTAATTCCCCCACCTGTAAATCCTTAAACATGCACACACACACACACACAGAGGGACAGTGATGGATGTTCTGTGTGATTTTCATTTTAATGCAACTTATGAGGCTATGAAAGTTTAACTATGATTACCTGTTTATTGTTCCTCTTTATTCCCTATTTTTTGGATTGGATTTTACAAATGAATGTTATGTTTGTCTCTGCCAGCCTCGAGTTGAAGTGAAGTCTTAGCCAGGCACAGCCAGATGATCCTGGACCAGGTGCTGTATGGAGCCAGCCATGTTGGAATATAGAGCTACAAATGATTATGTTGTGAGATTCAAGGGGGGTGGAGTTGCAGAGCCATAACACATCAGCTGACACTTGCAGACTTGTCATTATTGTGGTGGGTGACCTCCCCTCTCAGGCAGCATTCTTTGCTTTCCAGACACTATGTAAACTTGTTAATACTGCGGGTGAGGCCTGAATTGGAAGTGATCTTAATGCACGTGCAGAAATAGTGGAGATATATATTTTTGTTTCTGTTGTATTCATTGCTGTCTGAGTGATATACCAATGTTTGTACAGAAAGATGGAAGCACCGGTTGAATCAGATGCCTGAAGCAGCCAAAGTTCTAGTAAGTGCTTCTGGTTCACCTGTGGGTAATCTCATGTTCATTTTGTTTTTCAGTTTTCAGTTGTTGTTTTTTTTTTTAAATCTTTCATGGAATTATGAAGGTATTATTTAGACTTATTTTGCTTTCTCTTTTTTTTTTTTAAATTGTTTTTGCCGCTAGTAATGCTGTGGCCTGTCTATAGTGTGTCATTTTGTTGTTGAATTTTGTGGATGGATTCTCCGATTTGCTGTTTGGCACCTGAAATTATGCCACATTGGACAGGTAATTTTGGCGCAGAAGACTGAGCGGTGAATGTTGCAGCTGCTGTAGGCTTTAGGGGAAAATCAAGATGTAACTCCGCAGCTAACTTTTTGGCCCGTTTTTTTTTTTTAATTGGTTTTATGTCTAAAGTTCAGATGGTTGCTGAAGAAGTTTGCTCCCAGGTTTATTTGAGTGAATACAACTGGTATTTCATTTACTTTCATAAATAGACTGTCCTGTTGGTCTTCACTGTAAATTAGTTATTTACTGTGTGTGGGCTGTCCGAAGGGTTGATGGTTAGGGAAATGATACATAAAAGATGTATGACGAAGGTGCTGTCACTGAAAAGGATGGTGTAGTGGAAAACTTGATAATTACATTTTCCTTGAAGCTGGGGAGAAAGGAAGACAAAAAGAAATGTGGAGAAAATTAGAGTTGGGGGGGGGGGTGGATAAGAGATGGCAAAGAGTAGGAATAAGTATGAGTTGGTTGGGAGTTTGTACTGATATATGGATGAAGAAAGGAGGAGGAAATATCATGTGACTGTAAAATACATTTGTATGCAATATTTGTTACAATTCTTTTTCTGTTGTCTATCTTAAGCTAGTATAAGTTTATCATTTTTGTATAGAGAAGCAGTAGTAGTTACCTTCTAGGTGATGTTTATTTCTCTAGGTGATGTTTATTTCTAACTTGTGCATTGTTGCAGTCTTCTTGTACGGTCTGTTAGCTGGGTTTAGTTTTTGATTTTCATGACATTTTCTCTGTGTCCTATAGTATATACACTGAAGTTGTTATCAGGAATTGGTTTAATAAATCTTGTACAAAGATGATTTAATAAAGGGTTTGAATTGTATTGTTTCAGTAAAGATGAAACAATTGTATAAATAGAATGTTTTTTCAATGCTCTCTTAGTGAGTTGCTGAATACTTCACCTTCCTTCCTGTAAAACTAGATAGAAATTTAATGAGTGGGGATTGCATTCTTCAGTTGAAAAAATGTGTTTCCTACATTTCCCTTAAATTGACAGTTGGTACACCATGTTGTGGTTTACAGGTAGCCTGAGACATCCATGCCTTTTGGCCATTCATTTTATTTCAGTAAAAGTAACTTTGAAAGTTTCATTACAGTATAAAGATTTCAAGCACACATCCCAAAAAAAAAAAAACTTGAAAAATCAGAAGAAAAACTTGTATAGTAAAGGCACACAAATTGAATTGCTGTAAAGAATCCCTTGAACCTTATAAAGCCAGTTTTGAAAGATGTCTGTAGAATAAGAAGAGTGGTGCTAAACTTTCTCTTGGTGAAACCCAGGTTCTGATCCTTAGTACGGAAGGGAGATTTTGCTCAGTCGAGAACAAAAATTAAAATCCTAACCTGCACTGTTCTTGGCCATTCCACTGACAATAATGGCCTTAACCCCTTCGCTCTGAGAAGCCACACAACCGATTTTTCAGGATGATACCATTTCCTCATAGAAGCTGCTGTCCTGACTCGCTGTAGAGACACATTTAGGACACGCCTTGCTAAGTTCATTGCATCTCTGCAGCAAAGCAGGATATGACTGTTTTCTTTGAAAAGTGGCTTTAAATAAATTCCTGTCATATTTTCCCCATTGGCCCTAGATCCAGTTAGTCTCGTGCGATAGTTAGTTTACAGGCCTCAAGCGATGTAAGCCAGTTGATTCTATATTGCGTAAGTTTTTTTTAAATACTGCCCTTGCTCTGTATATTACTAGTGTATTGGGTGACATGTTTGCACACATTTTTTTGACTTGTTTTGGTAAGGATTATTTTTCCAAGAACTTCCACACACACACACCACGGCCGGCTCCAGTAGTAAGGCTATCAAGCTCAAACAGGAATGCCAGGAGTTTGATGGTATATTCTAAAGGAGGCGGTAACACACACACAATGAAGAATACGGGAACTTTTAGCAGTCCCCCCGGGTGAAAGAATAACATTCTCAAGCTAACAATTTTCCCTTCGTGTATCACCCCTAAAAGGGTCAAGACACTGTAGAACAGGTTTTTTAGTAATTTAACATTTATGATGTTAAAAATTACAGTGCCATTGGTTTTCTTTTTTCTTTTGTTATGGATAAAGGCTATGTGGTCATTGTGATGGATAAGGGTGTGTGTGGTCAGTTACACTGTTGGATAAATTTTGGGGCAATGGGGGTTTTGTCAACTCTTATTTTAAGTATCCAGATACAGTTTAAAACTTACATTAATTAGACAACTGTTTTGTTTGTTTGGTAACTTTGTATTCATTTCTGTTGTTGCTGTTTTTCTTAAACAGTGAGTCCTTCAGCTTCATTGTTTCTTTTTAAAAAAAAACAATAAGCTGTTTTGATTCTGTATAATTCTGCTTTGGAGTAAAATGATGTTTTGTTTCAGAAGGTTGCCTTAAATATAATTTTATAATTTCCTTTTGTAGCCGTTTAGGTTATGCTGACATGCTCAGTACCCCTTAGAAATCTGTATTGGCATTTATTTCATTTAGACTTTATATAGTTAACACACCTTCACTCGAATCTTTTGGACCTCCATTAAATGGGTTTTGGTAAAAGCAGATTAAATCTTCTTCAGCATTCTGAGCCTTTGAGGTTCATTGTTGCAGATATTGCTGCTTCCCTTCATCTCTGTGATTGGCCCTCTTTTTCCACTTTCTGAACTTGAGGTGTTTGTAGGTCCGCCTAGATATCTGTCCACTGTTTTCTTGGGATCTACGATTGTTCAGATCTCTTATGCACTCACTTTTTTGCCTCTCTTTATCTGCTATTTAAAAATTAAACCTGTATGAGGTAAATCAGTATTTTTCAGTTACAAAAATATGACGAATTTATGACAACAGTGAGAGCCACTACTGAGTTTAAATTGTTTTGTTTGCTGTGTGCAAGTATGTCTCATTATCATGTTGCGCTTTATTAAAAGTATTATTCCTCTTCTGTTGGTAGTGTATTTGTTGTCAGCCACTTCTAAGTCTGTTTTTGTAACTGGACAGTCAGCAATGCCAGACAGATGCTTCCACCCTTTTGTCTGTTGACACAATGTGAGAGTGTATTATAAACTTACTGTTGATGAGTGGGTAGAAGCTGCTGAATGTTTGGCTCTCATGAAGATCCAGGTTTAAATCCTTGGTATGGTTGTGGGTTTTCTTCTGGGGTAGAACTAAAATGATAACCTGCAGTCTGTGGTGACTGCACCTGGCCACGCGACTATAAATCTTCATACAATTAAAATAGTTGTCCCCATGTGGGATACAATTTTCTGTTTTTTAAAGCCCCATCCTGGCTTTTGTCGGGGGACCCTGAATATGGCTGAAAGCGGTTTCTGGCACCTCACGGGTGATCCTCCTCCGCATTGTGGCACCGGGCGTTAATCGCTTGTAGGATGTCCTGGTGGGGAACAACTTACATGCAAACATGGTAAAAACAGGCAGTAACAAGTTTATTATTGTTGACAGACCACAATGGGAGGCTTTACGGTGATACCCGCCGTTGTAGACCAGAAAAATGTTTGTAATGTTTAGATGATTAGCCGATGATATTTTGTTGGTATGTCGCCTTATGCAAATACTTGTTTGTTAAAATTGTCACTTCCACGATTCTTCTGTTGAGATGTATGTCTGCGTATGCCATTTTGTTCTTTACAGATGATATTCCTTGCATTCATTGTCCTGGGTTGCATGTTTCAAGATGTTGATAGATAATCTGGTTATAGCATATTTAATATGGGTCAGTACAGTTGCAGTTTAGACTTTATTTCCCTCTTGTTTCAACTCTGCCCTAGTCATCACTTTGCAATGTTTTGCAGGAAGTAACTTGTATATCAAGCATTGCTTCAGGTGCTGAAATTAATCCAGTGCTGTTAAATTTTTGAGGTGTTTCTCTCTCTCTCTCTCTCTCTCTCTCTCTCTCTCTCTCTCTCTCTCTCTCTCTCTCTCTCTCTCTCTCTCTCTCTCTCTCTCTCTTTCTTTCGTTCTTTCTTTTGTGTGTGTGTGTGTGCTATCTGCCAGGCCACTTTCTACAGTATTCTTGTCTGGATGGAATCATTTCTGTTGGCTTAAAGATCAGCGTATAGTTTCAATACTATAGTCATGACATGTCTCACGTTACTGACATTTGAATTTACTGTCACTTTGCTTTAACCTCTGTTTGCTCTTAAAGTGACTATTAGCACATTGTATTATGGTTTAGAGCTAGGCTATGATATCGGTGCCACTCAGCCATCACATCCGATTGCAGCAAATCAGTCGCCTTATACCACACTTGGGTAGTAGGAATATCTCCATTAGTTGTGTATCCTTTACAGGACTTTGCAGAACTATCCCCAACAGTCCCTGGCTGTTGTTTGGTTTGTCTAGGCAGTAG